AGCATTTCTGTTGTAGGCAACATGTGGAATGACAATTGGTGGGGGCAGGAGGATGAAGTTTCCAAGGCAGTCAATGCACAGGGAATCCTGTTTGTACCAGGACAACCTACATGAAGAACTTGGGTGATACGGCCAGAAATTTACTCTTGATTTAAGTCAAGTACATCAGTTTCAGTGTAAGTATATCAGACGCTCCCTCCCAGGACTTGGGAATTATGACTCAGATCTCTACTCAGTCCTCACAGAGGTTATATAAACTTGGAGCTGAGACACCACCATTTTTGCCATGGGAAGAGAGAAATGGACAAAATCAGGGGCAAGTGTGATATGCAGGTTCCAAGCATAAAGAAACAGCAAACGTGAATTCTGCAGGCAAGAACATGCTAGATGCATCCAAGGAGCAGAAAAGAGGCCAGCCACAGTGGCGATGGTAGGAGATGGGGTTGGAAGGGTCCTGCAAAAGCCTGGTCCACACACAATAAGCAGGGTGCATATGTATTCTAAGTGGCAAGAGGAAACCATTGAAGGAGGGTTGTTTAAGCAGGAAAATGACAAGATCCAACTTTCTTTTTGGAAATTGGCTTTGACTGCTGTGTAGACAACGTTTGGATAAGTCAGGGAGACAGTCAGGAGGCCGTCCCTCCCTTGGGGGAGGCAGTGGTGCTCTGAGTGGTGACCCAGAGGAGGATGGTGGGAGGGAGGAAACGGGAGTCATTCCACTGTGCCTCTCTTTTAAGGAAAACATGGCTCTTTTCTCTATAAATGGGGTTTAGAGACTCCCATTGTCTTAGTATTGATGAAAGTTAAGTGAGGTAATGTATGACAAAAGGTTGATGCAAAGTAATTTTTCAATAAGCAGTAATTATTATTATCATTATTCCCCTAACAATAAAAGAGAATCCTCACCAAGCCTCCTACATTGTCTTGTAGAAAATAGACAAAACAAAGTGCTAAACTGAGAAAGAAGATGGGGTGCTGTGGCAAGACGTGTGCCTCCCCTTGAAAATGAAAGCGATGTTCTGTTCTGTTTTCTGTCCTACTTGCCATCCTTCTGTCTGAATTTGTCCAACTAACAGCCTTCTTCCTCTTCTACTTCAAACAGGAGATTTCTGTGACTTTTTCCTGAAGAACTACCCCATTTCTATTCCTGTAAAATTAGTCCTTGGACACGTGGGTGGCTCATTCTGTTAGCTGACTGACTCTTGATTTCGACTCAGGTTATAATCTCACTGCAGGGCTCTGCACTGTCAGCATGGAGCCTGCTTGGGATTCTCTCTCTCTCTCTCTCTCTCTCTCTCTC